CGCTCTTCCAACATATTTGTAAATGTAACTCATTATCCCCCTTCAAATTAAATTTGTCAAAGCAAGGGGATTCAAAGTAAAGAGACAGATACAGTTTACATGTGCTCAATCAACCTTGGAACTTGCATGCCTGGAAACTGGGTGTGGATAAACCTGTGCCTCTAGAAATGTGCTCTGAATATTTGGCACTGTTAATACTGATTTCAAAATCAGAATATCGGGTAACAGATTTCAGCTAAAGGAAGAAAAGACCTAAAGTAGCAATGATTGGATAATTTCTAAAGAAGCCAGCATTAGAAGTCATACAATCACAGCTACTTTATCACTTGTCTTCCTTTATCTGAAACCTGTGCATCATAGAAGGCCAACTTTGCCATTTAGAGTAAAGCTTCATCTATGAATAGTCCTAGTAAATTAATGGAACAACTTGCATACTGGTGATATTATTGAACATATTTATTACAGCTGTGCCTGGAGGTCTACCAAGAATGGGGCCTCATGTTCCAAAGCAACGAATAATCACAGTTATTGACCTGAAGAGCTTCTAAATAGGCAAGACAGACACAGAATGGGAGAAAAAGGATAATTTATACCAGAGAGTGAACACTGTGATGGCAGTGAATGGCAAGTTAGCTCCCAGGCTTTTGGGGGCAAGTTTAATTAATAGTAGAAAGGAAAGGGAAACAGGGCAGGGGAATGTTAGTTCCCAGGTATTTGGAGGAGAGGAGAGGAGAAGTGGGTAAGAGAATAAGGTTGCAACCAAAACTTGCATTAAAAGACTGTAGAGGAGGGGTGGGAGCAACCAACCAATCAGCTCTTACTCAAAAGAAGAGTGGCGAAACTGGGCCCAAGACCTCCCAGATCCATACAGAAATAAAACTCAACTTGGTGTCAATAATAATAATAATAATGAAACTAGCAGGATCTGGCAATCGGCATATGAAAACATAATGATCTTTTTTTTTCCCAAACAGTAGATATGTTATGTAAGAAACAACACACAAGAGGGGGTGTGGTTGTTGTGAAATAACCACAGCCTTTGAATACAGGCCGAAGACCAAAAATCAAATTGCTCCAACAGCCCAGAAGGACTGTTTACAACAACTTATTCGGTGGGGTCTGATGGTTACAAATAATAAATAATATGGATTCAGGTCCTCTGTGGTGATGACAGCGGAGTTTGTGATGTAGTAAATGTCAGGCCCAAAAAGGACTCTGCAAGTCCCCGTTATCCTGGAGGCTGTTCTAATTTGCATTACCTGCCACAGGCAGTCAAGGACTGCCAAGATGCGGCTGCACACCTTGCAGTTAGGTCTGTTTTTTATAAACACGTGTTTATGGATATACTCTTCATCCGAGTCTCTACAAGTCCTTAGTTTCTTGGCCTGGGCATGGTCCAAGGCCTCTCTATTGTCTCAAATTTTAACCTTAAGGTGCCAGCTGTAGAATTTGTAGTGAAGTGAAAAGTGAGACCTATTTGGATATGAACTAAAAAATGTGGGATATGAATATATTAATATCCTATGTGGCTAGAGCATAATATTCACCAGTGGGGCAAGCCTGTTCCTAGGGGTGTAAATTTATTTGTATTGCGAAGGTTTTGAATTGTTCTAATAAGTCTCTATTTGTGACAAGTGAAAATGTAAAACTAAAGAATTAGAAAATACAAACAAACACCATGTCTAAGGATTTAGCGATATACAGAGATTGTATTATAATTCCCACAGCTGTTGGGTGCATTTCACAAGCTCATAAACTTCAGCTTGGACTATTTAAAATAGCAGTCACTACAAGCAGCAAGACAACTGAGTGGCTAGAAAACACACTCAAAATAGTGAATTCCCGCTGCGTAAGAAGCACCTATTTTTTCACCTGACCTCATAACCATACAAAGGTTTGCTTAAAAGGTCTGGTTCAGGGCCTCAAACAATAGAACGGCTTTATCTTTTCACATTGTTCCATAGATTGTAAGGCTGGAAGGGACCTCGGAAGATCATCGGGGCCAGCCCGCTGCACCAAGCAGGAAAGATAACTGCTTTACTGACTTCAAAAAGCACTGGACTGAAACCTTAAACTCCACATACCAAGTCTATTTTACTTTCTGTTTACCATGACCACAAAATTATTCTGTAACGTTTGCTCTTTTCTTGTTACAAAGAGGAGAAAATCAATCTCATTTTTTCCTCTTGATTTTACTGCATTACCACCTTTGCAAATTAATTCTGTGGAGGGTAAAAATATGTTTTTAAAATGATCTGCCCTAGGGCAGCCTGGATTGCAGGCTGGGTTGCTCTACAATTAGAATAGTAGGTGCAGCACCCTAAAGAGAACCAAGAAAGAAATCTCAAAACATCAAGCAGGCAAATGGTTTTGCCATTCAGCAACATTTACAAAGAAACTCAGGAATCAGTTGTCACTTCCATCCTTATGCCAAGTAGTCTCAGTTGGAAAAAAGAAAGTGGTGATACACACACTGAAGGTTTACTCCAAAGCCAAGCTCCTCCCCCTGAAAAAGGCAGAATGAGATACTAACTACAGCAGAGTATGCAGAAGCTCATGATTACCTGAGCTGTTTTGGGCTCCTCAAACTTGGCTGCATGTCAATGGGTTCAAATTCACCCTTGGGCAGGTTGGACTGAGGCACAGGCACGTGTTCAGGGCTCTCACTCCCACACACAAGTGATAACATCAGAATCCTATCCATCTATCTATATCTATAGCTGTATTTTATAGATCTCCTGGTGGATAGATAGATGGATAGGATTCTGATACATATAGGTCTCCTATATATATATATATATAGGTCTCCTAGTTGCTAAACTAGCAGGTCTAGAAAAATAAACAAACCAGTTTAAGCAAAAAATAAATACACCTGCATAGCCTTTTACACTTATTTAGTTAAACCAGTACAACGCTATGAAAATAAGCTTTCCACCATGAGAGACGTCTGAATCAACAAGACTGCTCACACACAGTTACACATTTGACTGAATTTGCAAGGCTGGCGCTTAAGTAACATGTCAGTTGCCTCCACTCTGCTCCAAGAAGTCAGTCCAGGGCGCTACCAAGCAATGAAAGATTAACCCGTTATCACTGGACTGTCTCACAGCATAGCTCGGGTAGGAAGTCCGATTCTCTTCATTTTTAATTATGCTCAAGATCCAGTGCCCCGAAAGCTTTAGGGTACACACAACCGTTTCCACAACTCTGCAAACTCAAGTTGACAAAAAAAACAACACCCCAACAAACCTGAGGTGACAAAGCTAAGCTTCCAACAAGGCCAAAGTCAGACCTGATCATTCTGGTTACTACAAAACGTGTACAACACCCCCCATGCTTTCCTTTCATATAGAAATAAAGCACTGAAGCAACCATACGTAGTGAAGGCTATACCACTCATCCGTCTTAACGCCGTGACACCTCTCAGGTTCGGGGCTCCCGCGCTATGCTCCCTTTCCTCGAAAGCTAAAGACACGTCAACATTTGATGGTGGCCACGGCCATCGAGGCGCAGCGCTGAGAGTGGCGATGCTCGACCGGGAGCCTTCCCGGGCGGCGCTGCAGCGATTCGGAAGGCAACCCCAGAGGTTTCAAATGAGAAACCGAAGGGGTGAAAAAACCATCCTGCCCGATAGAGAACTTCCTGAGCAGTCTTTGCAAAAATAAAATAAATAAATAAATAAAATGGCCTTATTATTTTTCTATAAGTGAAAAAATAAAGAAGAGGTGAAAAATGAAAAGTGGGAAGGAGAGCCACTGGCTCATACCCTACAAAACGCGGGCCCCAGCGTGGCCACCCCCAAGAGGTGCGAGGCTCCTACCAGCCCCAGGCAGAAGGATGAGGCCAAGCCCCACCCCTCCTGGAACCCACCAATGGGCACCGCCCGGCCCTTGAGCGACAGCCAGTGGGAGCCAACCAGCGAGCTTGTTGTTGGCGGGTGGCTCGCTCTCCGGCTCTATAAAGGCGGCCACGCGTCGAGGCTGCGGCCCTGAGAAGACGTGTCTCGGGGGGAGCGCAGCACGCACGCAGCCGCGCGGGGGTTTTAATCCGATTCCGGCCGGCCCGGATTTTATTGGGGCGGTTTTAAGGTGAGCGCGGGGCCGGGCGGGGCCGGGCCGGGAAGGGGAAGGCAGGCAGGGGCCGGCGCTGAGCCGCGCTGTGTGTTGCAGGCGCCGCCGCGGAGAGGCA